TAATAATAATAATAATAATAGCATTTATATAGCATGCATCCCCGCTCGATAGGAAGCTCTATGCGCTTTACACTGTATTATTATCCCAGCAGACCAAAGAACACTCAGAAACATTTTCAGCTTCCCGGGAAGCATGCTGTGGAAGCAGCTGATTAAGCGCTGAAACACTAACACACTGAGAAAATCTTTCAATGTCTATAGCTAGGTACCCATTGCTACCTGGGTGAGGCAAAGATTTTCTATTACGAGGAAAATTCGTGTTACGTGCTTAAGGACACAACGTCGGGCCCCTGACGGGATTTGAACCCACGACCTTACGGTTACGAGTCTGAGAGTGTAACCAGTAGGCCACCGACCGGGTTTACGTATGTAACGTCAACGTGTAATTATTATAAGTGAGACAGCGTCGTGGAATCAGGCTCTCGTCAATTTTTGGCATGTAGAGTTATTGGTATCATCTTAAAGCTTGTTCACTTGTCTTTATTTGGATGAAAAAAAAATATCCATTTATCTTGAATACAAGTCGAAATATTTGCGAAAGAAGGAGGTGAGGTCACTTGTTTTCAGAGGTAAAATTAGTGAGAATATGGGCGCCAAAGATTAGTTATTTCCTTAGCTTAAGAGTCCGTGGTAACAGAAACTTTACATTTTTTGTGAAATTAATCTACGGTCTTCAGAAGAATCCGCACAGAAATGAGTTCTTTAATGGGCATGAAAGGTGTTGAGTCAAAAAAAAAAAATTGATAAATATTCACAAACCTGCGGAAAAATGGAAGTTTCTTCACTTTGATTATTTTGACGAGAGCCTGATTCCACCCCGCTGCCTCATTTAAAAACCTCTCTGTATTGTAAAGAGCTTAGAACTCTGCAGTACGGCGGAAGTGGACACAATGGAAAAAAAAATCTGCGTTGTTGTTATTACTATCGTCATAATATTCTTCTCGGTTCGGGCACGGATTTTTTTCGACCCCTCCTGCTCACCCAGCAGTAATGGGTACCTGATTTCGAGTTGGGGAAGTAAAGGTGGCGTGGAAAGGAACTGGCCACCCTACCACTATATGCCGAAGGCCCAGGATGTTGTCTCACTAACAAGGCAATACCTAATGTCCGGATCGGATGCGGGAAAAAACTTTCCTTGTACAACTGAACATCCCAGTCTATAGAGCGAAGCTGCCTTTCGCCGCAGGACTTTCAGGACCCCATTCACATTTTGATCTCCCTGCCTTGGGG